GTTGTAGTCTTCAGGATTCGGGAGCAGCCCTCTGGAGGGAGCGCTGCGTTATAGTAGTGGTAGTGTTAGCTAGTAGCCTTCGGCGCTGGGCGCCATAGCTAGGATAGTGGTAGRGAGAGAGAGAGAGAGCTTGGGCGGAGGCCAAGGGTACCTACCTGCAGCGCCGTTGCTCCAGCTTCGTCTTCAAGGTACCTGCAGCACAGCGCCACATCACAGGTTAGTACCTGGTTCGTAACAGTGAGAGAGAGAGAGTCCTTCTTTCTCTTCTTCTCAGTCCACCATCTCCTCCTCTCCCTCTCAACCCTTGACTTCACTGCATTTGCAGACTGCGAGAGAAGAGATACCGAGCTTGGTGATATCGGATCCAAGACTCGACTTTTTGGGATTCAGACCTGACAACGAGGGGTTATTTGGGATCGGTGACAAAGACTTGGTGTTAACGACACTCCCATCTTCCTCCCTCCTTTCGTCTGATCCTTACCTCTTCGTCTATGCATGTYTGGACCTGGCGCTTTCWKCCTGTGTGCAGCGCCAGGCTCCTTCACACCTGGTGAGGGGTACGATGCATGTTTGGTCTAAGTTCAACCATCGGTTGGACTAGCTATCAACATTCTAGCAGTCTGTTTCGCTACTTGCTACTACGTGTGTAAGGTCAGTCCTTGTCAGGTCAGTCTTTGTATCTAAGTCTTCCCTGCGCTATTCAGCACTTTTGTATGTATGAGAATGCACATTGTCTGTCGAGATTCTACTCTCACCGCATTGTCCATTTCAGTCCTTTTCGTCACATTGCAGTTCCTCGGTTATTACAAACATCACATATCTGTGCATGTAACAGTGGTCCTTTGGTGCTAGTGGCATTTGTGAGTTGGGGAACGAGGTTGTGAGTGTAGCGCGAGACCTACCTGGTGCTGGAAGCGTGCGACATTGGTCACCATATGCTCGTACTTCGGGAATGCTGTTGATGTCATCTTTCGGCTTCGTAGTATAGGCTAGATAGGATCTGCCACTTGTAGTATGGGCGCCGAGCGCCAGATAGGATAGCAACTCTGGTTCTTCGTTGATGATGATGGGACTACTTCAGCATTGTCAATTATGAACTCTTGGTGTGTACTTATTTGGTGAATCTCGTGTTGCAATTTTGCTATTGGTTCGAGGTCAAGACTATCTGGACTCATATGTATGATGCTGTTTGATTGCTGAAGTTCGCTATCGCTCAACTTCCTTGCAATTTGGTATCGGAGCTGTGGTATGATTGCGCTCATCTGGCGCTTGTCTTCTGCCTTATGCGGTACATACATGCGGTTTGCTGGGCGAGTTTGGTCGTAAGTGGTGTGTAGTGAGGAGGGTGGAGACGAGTGTGAAGGCGACCCAGGAGGTGAGGGGAATCGCCAGGAAGGCTATGTGAGGTGAATGTGGTCTGGACAGTGTGATGATAACTTTCTAATGTGCGATTGATGCTGAGGTGGAACAGTGGATAATGCTGGTCGTGCCGATGCAGTGACTGGTCATAGCAATCGCCATTTGGTCATCTGGTGAGATTATCTCTGTGGTTGGGGGTAGCTAAATAAGGTACGTTGCTCTTAACCTTATCTTCCCTCTCCGACACTTCTTACCGTGAGGTTGTGTGTTCCTTCTTGAGAGTCGAGTGCGCTCAACCTTGAGAGTCGGCAATGTTCACGTGGAGCATCTGGGCGGAGATGGGCTAAGCTTTCTGAAGGGCCCTGGACGAAGCACTGGGTCACGGTCACCACGCCAACCCACAGGGAGTAGAGCACGCATGCCTAAGCTGCTTGTCCTTTGTTCGGCTTGCTGCACTGTTAGATGGGTACTACTGGGCAGGCCAGCCCCACAGGAAAGACGAGCACCCAGCGTCTATAAATAAACACGGGAAGGGGAACCATTGACTGTGATCGTCGTTCGGCTGCGACGTAAAATAATTCCTGGAGTCACTTGGGGGCGGACGTTAAATTGCCCCTGGATCAGTCAATGGTTGGAAGGCTCGTGGCACGCCGAGGATAAAAATACGTGCAAGGCTGGCCGGTTCAATGGATACTCGGGGCACAGGGGTGGGCCGGACACACACCTTTAGACACGCATCACTCTCCAGATTGCTCAGGGACGCTGACATCAAGTGATACTCAGGGGAATTAAGGGAAGGGTTGATTCCAGGTGACAAGTTTGAGAAAATTCCATGTTGTCCTATACACACAAATGATTCTGTTTGTATGTTTTGATTAGTTAGATGGACTGCCATTGACATCCGACAGACAGTATTAGTTAGAACTGTTGATTGTTCCTGGTGCTTCTGTTTGCGGACTAGTCATACTAAAAATAGTTTCACTTGTAGGAATCAGACTTCTGTTTGTGGACTAGTCATACTAAAAATAGTTTCAGATGTAGGAATCAGACTTACCTGTTGACTCCAAGTGATATCTGTTCAGAAATAGCCACTCATTAATTAGTGGGTCTATGCACTATGTTGCAGTAGGCATCTAGTATGATCTAGTGTAGACAGTGCACAGCGTTGTAGCCTATGAGCGACGAGGAGGACACCGGAGAGGACGACCGCAGGAACTTGCGATCAGCTAGGGGCCCGATAGCCCACGTGTCTTTAGGACCGGAGGGTGATAGACATCTGTTTCGCCAGCTTAGGGAGAGGCGGCAGTAGTAGAGGAGGGCTAGAGCAGCCAAGGCCAGCATAACTTTAGTTAGCGAGGCCGGTGCAACAGCAGCCATGGCCACTACAGCCATGGCCACTAGAGCCATGTCCACTTCTGCGCAGCAGACTTCCCAAGCCAGTAGTTCAGGTGTCATCGGGTCAACGGTTGCACAGACTGTGAGTCAGTCCACTGCCATTATGGCAAGCCAGGCCGCGGAATTAACTCCAGAGAATGACGCCATCCAGCAGGCAGCCCTACAAGAGGCACAACTACAGCGGGCATTAGGGGAGATAAAAGCGGAAAAAGAAAAGATGATCAGGAGAAGAGCCAGGACGCAGCGAAGAGGGGCAGACATAGAGGAGTTAGAGACGATGGACCTGAACAATATGGATGATGATGTGAGGGTAGTTAGGAGGGCCCTGCTAAGCGCAATAGAGGTGCAGGAGCATCAATCAACCATCCTTGAGGACATTCAACAGAGCCTAGCCGTTTTGGCAGGCCGTGCTCAGGCAGCACCATCACCAGCCGGGCCTGGTGCCTGGCCCGTGCCATATCCTCCCTTTTCTGTCCCACCGGTGACCGGGGTATCCCCATATGTAGCCCCGTCAACGGTTGCTATCGTTTCCCAAGGCATGCCGCTGTCAGGAGGGGTAATAGCAGGGAGTATTTTGCAGGTTCCTGTACAAACAGTGTTTACTCAAAGTTCGTTGCAGGTTGCAGTCACCACGCAGCCTGCTGTCTCACAGCCTGTGCAGCCTCAGGGCACGCAGCCCCAACAGCTAGCACAGCAACCTGTGTCACCGGGTCCACACCCCGGAGTGGTGCAGGGACCGGGACAAACCTCGTGGGTTCCAAAGACGGCCATCGCCGCTCCCAAACCTTTCATAGGGGACAAGAGAGGCGAAGACCTCAACACATGGTTGAGGTTTGTGCCGGTCTACGTCAAGTGTAAACTCACTTTGCCGCACGAAGAAGTGCTTGTGGCTGCTTCCTACCTAGAGGGTAGTGCAGCAAGATGGTTGAGCGGCTTAGTGCAGCTCCAGGGATATGGTCACGACTTTCGCGCTTGGGCAGCCACCCAGAAATTGGATGACTTCCTGAAGATGGTGGAGGAGAGGTGGCACGATCCTCAGGAGGCTCAAAGGGCCACTGATGCGATCCTGACACTGCACACAAGGCAGTTTAAGTCAGTAAGGGAAGCCACCGACGCTGTTGAGTGTCTGATCTGTGTCCCCGGGGTGCGCTATGACCCCCAGGTCCTGCTGACTTCGTACCTGAGATGCTTTTCTCAGCCTCTTAGGAACCAGTTGGCAAAAGAGGCCAACATCAATATGCACAACTTCCCTACATTTAGCAAGGTGGCCCTAGACCTTGAAGCAAAGATAGGGCATGGACAGGCACCCAGTAAGGACGGGAGGAAGACACTGCCTCCTAACTGGAAGGCGAAACGTTGCTTGATGTTTGTCGACAACGATGGTTCTACCATCGAATTGGATGGCAACTTCCAGGAGGGAGTAGGTTCAGAGGCAGCTAGCATAGACGCTTCAGAGGGTGGAGTGGTCGCTGCCGTAGCACAAAAAGGTAAGGCGACCGGTAGACGCCGCGGAGGCTCCCGGTCTAGGAGTCAAGTTGACCCTAACGCTCCTCCATGGGAGAAAGCGGGTCTCACTGAGGACGTGTGGAGAGACCAATACTCTCGGCAGGCTTGTATTCGTTGTGGCCAATATGGCCACAGCCAATTCAAGTGTTGCAACAAGAAAGTAACCGAAAAGATCTCGCCTACGATGGGGCAGGTGTTAGGATCCTCTCAACCCGTTGGTAGCAATGTTGCCAGTTCTTCAGGCAGTGCTCCGGGAAACACGTCGGGCCAGTAGGAATTGTAGCTGTTCCTGCTAGGATCGAGATGGTGGAGACACCCTCACCATCTCGAGAGATGGCCCAAGCTACTGACTCCAGCGTCGTCCCGCAAACACATTCAGACCCATCGAGCCTCTGTTCGATGAATGTGTTTGAGTCCTTAGAGGAGCTAGAGGTTGAGTGGTCTAGATCTGACCCGCTAGCTTCTTAAACGACACTAGTCAAAGCCCCGAAGGGTGAGATGTTTGTCAGCGAGGTAGTCATTGGCGGCCTCAAGGTCGGGGCTTATCATGACACTTGCTCGACGCGGAACTTTATTAGTCGCGCGTGCGTTGAGAGACTGCGCTTACAGGGGCAAGTGCAGCGCCAGAGTCAACCTGTGGAGTCGACGTGTGCCAACAAACAGCGCATGGTAGTTAACGACTACCTCCAGGATGTAGAGTGTTGTTTCCCCTACGTGGGAGGGGAATTGAGACATCGTGTCTCGTTCCTAGTGAGCGATGAAGTCCCCATGGACATGTTGTTAGGTATGTACTACCTCTCTGTGGCACCACCCCAGTTTGACTGGGACCGAAAAGTGGTCAAACACACTTTGCCAAGTGGAGGGACCGCCAGATTACACAAGTTCGAAGCTAGTAGTCTGACTGAGTCCTACGGGTGCATGTGTGCGGCCGCGTTCTATAATTATTATAAGCAAAATGAGGAGGAGGTTATGTACTTAGTTTATGTCTCTGTTGCAGGCGAGCCGGTGAAAATGCCGCCGGAGATAGAGGGGGTAGTTGCTAAGTACCCTGATCTACTTGAAGAGCCGACAGGGGTCGTTGAGAGAGAGGTCGTCCACGAGATAGAGATTATCCCTGGGTCTAGTATTCCGAAGGGTAGGATCTATCGGATGTCTCCAGGTGAGCTTGCTGAGCTTCGCCGCCAACTCAAGGAACTCGTAGAGAAGGGTTGGATCCGACCGAGCGTCTCTCCTTATGGGTCTCCAATTCTATTTGTGCCTAAGAAGAATGAGGGTACTCTTAGGATGTGCATTGACTATAGGGGCCTCAATGTCATCACTGTAAAGAACAGAGAGCCCCTATCACGCATCGATGATCTGTTAGATAGAGTGCAAGGGTGTCGGTACTTCAGTAAAATAGATCTGAAGTCCGGGTACCATCAGATTGCAATCCGGCCCGAGGATCAACACAAAACCGCCTTTCAGACCACGTACGGTCTGTACGAGTTTGTGGTGATGCCTTTCGGCCTTTGCAATGCTCCTGGCACCTTTCAACACACTATGAATCGGATATTCCATGACTACTTGAATAAGTTTGTCGTTGTGTACCTCGATGACATACTTATTTTTAGTAAGAGTGTCGAGGAGCACGTTGCACATTTGGACAAAGTCCTCAGTCTCCTGCGACAGCACAAGTACAAGATCACCGGTGAGAAGTGCGAGTTTGGCCGCACCCGTGTCTTGTACTTGGGTCATGAGATCTCCGCGGAAGGGTTGAAGCCCGATGACGCGAAGGTGGCCAGCATTTGTGATTGGCTACAATAGGACTTTCGTTAAGAACTATAGCATAGTGGCCGCTCCTTTGACTGATCTGACCCGCCTTGATACCCCATGGGAGTGGACAGATAAGTGTGAGGCTGCTTTCAGACATATGAAGCATGCGTTGACGCACTATGAAGTCTTGAAACTTCCTGATCCTGGCAAGCCATTAATAGTCACCACGGATGCCAGCCAATACGGCATCGGCGCCGTGCTCGCGCAACAGGACGGGCCAAAGTTGAGGCCAGTAGAGTACATGTCCAAGAAAATGCYGTCACAGAAGTTGGCTAAGTCCACTTATGAGAAGGAACTCTATGCGGTGTACAAGGCTCTCACCCATTGGAGACACTATCTCCTTGGGAGGTTCTTCATCCTCAGGAATGATCATCAGACCCTGAGATGGATGAGAACCCAGCCGGTACTCTCTGACGCTCTCAAGCGTTGGATCGAAGTCATTGAGCAATATGACTTCGACCCTCAGTATCTCAAAGGGGAGTACAACAAGGTTGTTGATGCCTTGTCGCGCAGACCGGACTTCTCAGGTGCGCTGATTACTGAGTTTGATCTGACGGACAATGTTACTCAGTCTTTGGTGGAAGCTTATCGCAAGGACCAGTTTATGTCTGAGATCATACGCAGACTTCAGGCAAAGGACAAGAAGACCTCCGCCGAGTTTGAGTTGGTTAATGGCTTGCTTTTCCTAGAGAAGGCAGGGAATAAACGTCTGTGTGTTCCAAATCGCGAGTCTTTGCGTAGTTTGTTTTTAGGCGAGTGTCATGATGCCACCGGCCATTTTGGGTATAAGAAAACCGCAGCCAACTTGCTGCAGCGGTTCTGGTGGCCCACGATGATGCGAGATGCTTAGCTGTACGTGGAGACTTGTCAAGTTTGCCAACGAGACAAGCCACGTACTCAGGCTCCTCTTGGGCTTTTGAAGCCCCTTCCAATTCCGGAACGGCCTGGTGAGAGTCTGTCCATGGATCTCATGGATACTCTGATCACCAGCAAGAGTGGAATGTGTCACATCTTCGTCATCGTGGATAGATTTAGTAAGTACGCTAGGTTAATAGCCATGCCGGAAACAGCAAAGGAGTACGTGATTAGAATGTTCAAAAAGAACTGGGTCAGGGACTAGTGACAGAGATGTCCGGTTCACCAGTGAGTTGTGGAAGGCCGCTGCTGCAGAACAAGGAACTCAGTTACAGATGACTTCTGGCAATCATTCAGAGGCCAACGGTCAGGCTGAGCAACTGAACCGCACTGTGCAACACCTGTTGAGGCATTACATCAAGCCCAATCAGGTGGACTGGGATGAGAAGCTTGCTCTCATCGCCAGCTTGTACAACAACGCTGTACACAGCGCCACAGGGGTGAGTCCAAACAGCTTACTACTAACATTCAAGCCTAGACTACCCCTAGACTTTCTTCTTCCTGAGAATCAAACCACTGCTGCACCAGGAACCCTGGAATTTGCTTACCGCTATGAAGATGCAGCAGGCTGTAGAACAGATGCAGAAGGCGCAGGCTGCAATGATAGAGTCCGAAAATCGACACCGCCGACCTTCTACATTTCAGGTTGGGGATAGGGTCTGGGTTAAGGCGTCAGAACTAGGACAGGAGCACGGGATCTCCCGCAAACTCATGCCCCAGTACTTTGGACCTTGGGAAATCTTGGATATCGTTGGGACAGATCCGGATGGGCCATCCTATGCTATCCGGATACCTGGTCATTTCCGTACTTACCCTGTCTTCCACGCCTCCAAGCTGGCACCTTTCGAAGAGACTGATCAGTTTCCATCTCATCGCTCAATGCTGCCCCCAACCATGGGCGGAGAGGTGGACATCGATGATATCGTGGATCACAAAGAACTGCCGGTATCAACACCAGCAGGCTGGGGACGTCCTCCAAAACCGAAGCTGCAGTATCGCGTTCGGTTCCGGCATCACACTGATCCGAAGGAGGACAGATGGTTCACCAAGGAAGAGCTCATGCAAACCGCTCCTCAAGTTGTAACCCAATACGAGAGATATCTGCAGAAGGGAAAGCGCCCTATGATCGAAGACTGAGCTTCTTAGAGGACTGTTGAAGCTGAGGAGGAGGGAATGCGAGGCCAATGCCTCTATGAGCCCCATAAGGCCCCCTTTTTGCAGCCCGTCGCCCGCCCTAAGTGAAGGCAGGCTCGACGAGGCCCTCAGGGCCGTTTTCTGGCCACCACGCAACTCAAGGAAATTCAGGCAATTGCGCAGCGCCAGTTGGTTGAGTGAACCCAGGCCTTGGGCCGCATGTGTGAATGTACGTGAAGCAGACCCTGGGCTGGATACGGGTACCGGGCCAAACACAAGCCGAAAGCAGTTGGGCACATGCAACCACTCCAGGCCCAAGGGTGGCTCTCCTCGCGAATCCGGGGCCTACTGGAAGCTTCCTGGACTGGACGCAGGCAGGCCGCTTCGATATAGGGAAGGGCCTGCCTTCTCATTCGGCATTTGGGTGCTCGTTGCATGCTGCACAAGCGCTGCTGCGCTATTTGCTGGTTGGCGCCTACGCTCTCACGGGCGAGCAGGGAAGGAGCACGCAGCCATAGCCGAGCTGCGCTGCTGTATGCTGGGTGAAGCGCAGGGTGGTCCTTGGGTGCTAGTGGCATCTGTGAGTTGGGGAACGAGATTGTGAGTGTAGCGCGAAACCTACCTGGTGCTGGAAGCGTGCCACATTGGTCGCCATATGCTCGTACTTCGCAAATGTTGTTGATGTCATCTTTCGACTTCGTAGTATAGGCTAGATAGGATCTGCCACTTGTAGTCTGGGCGCCGAGCGCCAGATAGGATAGCAACTTTAGTTCTTCGTTGATGATGATGGGACTACTTCAGCATTGACAATTATGAACTCTTGGTGTGTTCTTATCTAGTGAATCTCGTGTTGCAATTCTGCTTTTGGTTCGAGGTCAAGACTATCTGGACTCATATGTATGATGCTGTTTGATTGCTGAAGTTCGCTATTGCTAAACTTCCTTGCACAAGTTTCACCAAATAAGAACACACCAAGAGCTCATACTTGACAATTGATATCCTATATGGCGCTCGGCGCCCAGACTACAGATGGCAGATCCTATCTAGCCTAGCCTAGACTACAATGCCGAAGATGACGTCAACAACTTTCCTGAAGTACGAGCATGCAGCGACCAATGTCGCACGCTTCCAGCACCCGGTACGTCTCTCGCCTCACTCACAACCTCGTTCATCAACACACAGATGCCACTTGCACCCAAGGACCACCCTGCGCCACACCCAGCTTACAGCAGCGCAGCTCGGCTATGGCTGCCTGCTCCTTCCTGTCGCCCGTGAGCGCGAGAGTGCCAACGAGCTTCAGCGCAGCAGCGCTTGCGCAGCATGCAGCCAGCACCCGAATGCCAAATGTGGAGGCAGGCCATTTGCTATATGGAAGTGGCCTGCCTACTTGCTGTCCTAGGCTGCGCTGGGCCTTTCCCAAGAAGCTTCCGGTAGGCCCCGGTAGGCTGAGCCCCAGTCCACACAACTCAGGCCCTGGGCCTGTAGTGGTTGCTCCCGCCCAACTGTCAACGGCCTGTGTTAGGCCCACATCCCGTATCCAGCCCAAGCTGCCCAGGGCGTGGGTTCTTCCAACCAGCTGGCACTGCGCAACTGCCTGAATTTCCTTGAGTTGCGTGGAAACCAAAATAGGGGCCCTGAGGCCCTCGTCGTGCCTGCCTTCACTTAGGGCGGCCGACGTGATACTTGACAGGGCCTTAAAGGGGCTCATAGGGGCATAAGCCTCGCATTCCCTCCTCCATAACTTTGCTAGTCCTCTGAGAAGTTCAGTCTTCGATGATCGGGTGCTTTCCCTTCTGCAAAGATTTCTCATATTGAGCGACGATCTGAGGACCGGTCTGCATGAGTTCCTCCCTAGTGAACCAGCGGTCCTCCTTTGGATCCAGATGATGTCGAAACCGAACTCGGTACTGCAGCTTCGGTTTCGGAGGACGTCCCCTGCCTGTCGGTCTTGGAATGGGCAGCTCCCTGTGATCCACGAAGTCGTCTATGTCCACCTCTCCATCCATGGTTGGGGGCAGCATTGAGCGTCGAGAAGGAAACTGATCTGTTTCCTAGAAAGGTGCAAGCTTGGAGGCGTGAAAGGCAGGGTAAGTGCGTAAGTGCGTAAGTGACCAGGGATGCGAATAACATAAGACGGGCCATCCGGTTCATTCCCCACGACATCCAATACCTCCCACGGCCCAAAATATTGTGGCACGAGTTTACGGGAAATCCCGTACTCTTGTCCCAGTTAGGAGGACTTCACCCAGACTCTTTCCCCTACCTGGAATGTAGATGGGCGGCGGTGTTTGTTCTCAGACTCTATCGTCGTCGCCTGTGCTTTGTGCATCTGCTCAACAGCCTGCTGCATCAAGTCCCTGGTGCAGCAGTCGGCTGATTGTCAGGTAGTAGAAAGTCTAAAGGCAGTACGGGTGTGAAGGTCGGTAGCAAGCTGTTAGGACTGACTCCGGTTGCACTGTGCACAACATTATTGTACAAACTGGCGATGAGGGTCAGTTTCTTATCCCAATCTACCTGATTTGGCTTGATGTAATGCCTTAGCAGGTGTTGTACAGCGCGGTTCATTTGTTCAGCCTGCCCGTTTGCCTCGGGATGATTGCCTGATGTCATCTGCAGTTGCATGCCTTGCTCTGCAGCTGCTGCTTTCCACAATTCGCTGGTAAATTGCACGTCCCGGTCGCTAACAATAAACTTTGGCAATCCAAAGTCTCTTACCCGATTCTCCTTAAACATTTTAATTACATACTCCGTGTTAGTTGTTGCCGACATAGCAACTAACCTAGCAAACTTGCTAAACCTATCCACAATGACGTAGATGTAGCGCATTCCACTCTTGTTGGTGACCAGCGTATCCATGAAGTCCATGGACAGGCTCTCACCAGGCCTTTCCGTAATCGGAAGGGGCTTCAGAAGCCCAAGAGGAGCTTGAGTACGTGGCTTGTCACTCTGACAGACCTGAAAAGTCTCCAGGTACAACTTTGCATCTCTCATCAATGTGGGCCACCAGAACCGCTGCAGCAGATTAACCGCAGTCTTCTTGAACCCAAAATGTCATGAGGCATCATGACATTCGCCTAAAAATAAACTACGCAAAGACTCCCTGTTAGGCACACACAAACGTTTATTCCCTGCCTTCTCAAGGAACAACAGGCCGTCGACCAACTCAAACTCGGGAGAAGTCCCTTTGTCCTTCGCCTCGAGTCTGCGTATGATCTCGGCCATAAACGGGTCCTCGCGATAGGCTTCCACCAACGGCTGAGTAACATTGTCCGCAAGATTGAACTCAGTAATCAGCGCACCTGAGAAATCAGGTCTACGGGACAAGGCGTCAACAACCTTGTTGTACTCACCCTTGATGTACTCGGGCTCGAAGTCATACTGCTCTACGACTTCGATCCAATGCTTGAGAGTGTCCGAGAGTACAGCCCGAGTTCTCATCCATCTCAGGGTCTGATGATCAGTCCTGAGGATGAAGAACCTCCCAAGGAGGTAGTGCCTCCAATGGGTCAGAGCCTTGTAAACCGCAAATAGTTCCTTCTCATAGGTGGACTTAGCCAACTTCTGAGACGGCATTTTCTTGGACATGTACTCAATTGGCCTCAACTTTTTCCCCTCCTGTTGTGCAAGTACAGCGCCTATGCCATATTGGCTAGCATCCGTAGTTACTATAAATGGCTTGTCAGGATCAGGAAGTTTCAAGACCTCGTAATGCCTCAACGCATGCTTCAGATGTCTGAAAGCAGCCTCGCATGTCTCAGTCCACTCCCATGGGGTGTCAAGGCGGGTCAGATCAATCAAAGGGGTGGCAACTATGCTATAGTTCTTCATGAAATTGCGACAGTAGCTGGTCATCCCTAAGAAAGATCTCATCTCAATCACAGATTGAGGACGCGGCCAGTCACGAATGTTGGCCACCTTCGCGTCATCGGGCTTCAATCCCTCCGCGAAAATCTCATAACCTAAGTACACGACACGGGTGCGGCCAAACTCGCGCTTCTCACCGTTGATCTTGCACTTGTGCTGTCGCAGAAGGCTCAGGAGTTTGTCCAAGTGCACGACGTGCTCCTCGACAGTCTTACTTAAAATAAGTATGTCATCGAGGTACACGATGACAAACTAATCCAAGTAGTCATGAAAGATCTGATTCATAGCGTGCTGAAAGGTGCCAGGAGCATTGCAAAGACCGAAAGGCATCACCACAAACTCGTACAGACCGTACCTGGTCTGAAATGCGATTTGGTGTTGATCCTCGGGCCGAATTGCAATCTGATGGTACCCGGACTTCAGATCTATCTTATTGAAGTACCCCCTTGCACTCTATCTAGCAAATCGTCGATGCGCGGTAGGAGCTCTCTGTTTTTTAACAATGATGGCATTGAGGCCCCTATAATCAATGCACATCCTAAGTGTTCCCTCCTTCTTCTTAGGTACGAATAGTATTGGAGACCCGTAAGGAGAAACACTCGGTCGGATCCAACCCTTCTCTACGAGTTCCATGAGTTCCCGGCGAAGCTCATCGAGCTCGCCTGGAAACATCCGATAGATCCTACCCTTTGGGATACTAGACCTTGGGATAATCTCTATCGCGTGGACGACCTCCCTCTCAAGAACCCTTGTCGGCTCTTCAAATTGATCAGGGTACTTAGAAACTACTCCCTCCATCTCCGACGGCATTTTCACCGGCTCGCCTGCAGCAGAGACATAAACTAGGTACATACCCTCCTCCTAAGTTTGCTTATAATAATTATAGAACGCGGCCGCACACATGCATCCGTGGGACTCGATCAGACTACTAGCTTTGAACTTACATAATCTGGCGGTCCCTCCACCTGACAAAGTGTGTTTGACCACTTTTCGGTCCCAGTCAAACTGGGGCTGTGCCACAAAGAGGTAGTTCATAGCTAACAACATATCCATTGGGAGCTCATCACTCACTAGGAACGAGACGCGATGTCTCAATTCCCCTCCCGCGTACAGGAAACAACACTCAAATCTTGGAGGTAGTCGTTGACTACCATGCACTTGCCCCTGTAAGCGCAGCCTCTCAACGCACACGCGACTAATGAAGTTCCTAGTTGAGCAAGTGTCATAATAGGCCCCAGCCTTGCGGCCGCCAATGACCACCTCGATGACGAACATCTCACCCTTCGGGGCTTTGATCAATGTCGTCCAAGAAGCTAGTGGGTCTGATCTAGACCACTCCTCTAAGGACTCAAACACATTCATCGAACAGAGGCTCGATGGGTCTGAATGTGTTTGCGGGACGACGCTGGAGTCAGTAGCTTGGGCCATCTCTCTAGATGGTGAGGGTGTCTCCACCACGTCGACCCTAGCAGGAACGACTATTCCTACTGGCCCAACGTGTTTCTCGGAGTAGTGCCAGAAGTACTAGCTACATTGCTACCAATGGGATGGGAGGATCCCAACACCTGCCCCATCATAGGCGGGATCTTCTTGATCACCTTCTTATTACAGCACTTGAATTGGTTATGGCCATATTGACCACAACGAATGCAAGCCTGCCGTGTGTACCGATCTCTCCACACGTCCTCTGTGAGACCCGCCTTCTCCCATGGGGGAGCGTTGGGGTCAACTTGACTCCTTAACCGGGAGCCTCCACGACGTCTACCGGTCGCCTTACCTTTCTGAGTTACGGCAGCGACAACTCCACCCCCTGTAGCTTCAACGCTGCCAGCCTCTTAACCTACTCCCTCCTGGAAGTTGTAGTCTAACTCGATGGTTCAACTATCGTTATCGACGAACATAATGCGGCCTTTCGCCTTCTAGTTGGGAGACAGTGACTTCTTCCTATCATCCGTAGTGGGTGCCTGCCCATGCCCTATCTTCGCCTCAAGGTCTAGGGCCTTCTTGCTAAACGAGGGGAAGTTGTGAACATTGATGTTGGCCTCACCTGCCAACTGATTCCTGAGAGGCATAGGAAAGCATCTCAGGTAGGAGCTGAGTAAAACCTGGGGGTCATAGCGCGCACCCTAGGGACACAGATCAGACGCTCTATAGCGTCAGTGGCTTCCCTCATTGACTTGAACTGCCTCGTGTGCAGTGTCAAGATCGCATCAATGGCCTTTTGGGCCTACTGAGGACCATGCCACCTTTCTTCCACCAACTTGAGGAAGTCGTCCAATTGCTGGGTGACCGCCCAAGCACGAAAGTCGTGACCGTATCCCTGCAGTTGTACTAAACCGCCCAACCATCTTGCTGCACTACCCTCTAGGTAAGATGCAGCCACAAGCACTTCCTCGTGCGGCAAGGTGAGTTTACACTTGACATAGACTGGCACTGCCCTCAACCAAGTGTCGAGGTCTTCGCCCCTCTTATCCCATGTGAAGGGTTTAGGAGCGGCGATGGCCGTCTTTGGTACCCATTGAGTTTGTCCCGGTCCCTACATCACACTAGGCTGTGGACCCTGTGATACAGGCGGCTGCACTGGCTGCAGGGGTTGTGTACCCTGCGGCTGTACAAGCTGCGAGACTGCAGGTTGCGTTGTAACTGCAATCTGCAACGGAGGTTGGGAATACACTGGTTGTACAGGAACTTGCAAACTAGGACCTGTTGAGAGCCCTCCTGATAACGGCATGCCCAGGGAAACGATAACGACCGATGATGGGGTTGTATATGGGGATACCCAGTCACAGGTGGGACAAAAGGAGGAGGATGTGCAACGGGCCAGGCACCTGGCCCGGATGGTGATGGTGATGCCTGCATCCGCCCGACTAACAGTGCCAAACTCTGCTGGATGTCCTGTAAGATCTCTGTCTGGTGATCCTGCATTTCCACTACACTTAACAGGACTGACCGTATGGTTCTCACATCATCATCCATCTCTGTTGGGTCCATCTCCTCTAATTCACTAACGTCCTCTTGCCTCCGCTGCATCCTGACTCTTCTCCTAATCATTCTCTGTTTCTCAGCCTTAATCTCTCCCAAAGCCTGCTGTAGCTGTGCCTCGCGAGCAGCAGCTCGCTGTATAACGACCTTCTCGGGAGTCATCACTAATGGCTGGCTTGCCATTACGCCAGCGGACTGACTCAAAGCCTGCGCTACCGTTGACCCTATAGACCCTGTTGACCCTACAAAGCTGGTAGACCCTGCAGAGCTTGTTGACCCTGACAATGTTGAGCTACCTGCCTGAGAAGTCTGCTGCGCAGAGCTAGCCATTGCTTCCAAAGTTATGGCTTCACTTACGAGCGCCCTGCTAGCCTCCGCTGCTCTAGCCCTCCTCTGCTGATGCTGCCTCTCTCTAAGCTGGCGGAACAGATGTCGGTCGCCCTCTGATCCTAAAGCCAAGTGGGCGATCGGACGTCTACGTGAACGCAATAGCCTGTCGTCCTCTATAGTGTCCTCCCTATTGCTCATAAGCTACAGCACTGCACACAATCTGCACTAGTGCACTCTAGATGCCTACCGCAGTGTACTGCACAAACCAATTTAAAATAAATAACTAATTAATTGATGGTTGTGTCAGAGACTATACATTCGGGCCCAACAGGTAAGTCAGATTCCTGCAACCGATACTATTTTTAGTCTGATTAATCCGCAAACAGAATGCACAGTGAACAGAGAGAGTTCTAATTATGTTGTCTGTCAAATGTCAAATGGGTGTACATCTAACTAACAAAAACATAAAATTAGAATCATTTGTGTGGATACGACAATATGGATTTTTTTGTCAAACTTATCACTTGAAATCTACCCCTCCCTTAGTTCCCCTGAATGTCACTTGATGTCAGCGTCCCAGAGCAATCCGGAGAGCGTTGTGTGTCTAAAAGGTGTGTGTTCGGCCCACCCCTGTGCCCCGAGTATCTGCTGAGCTGGCCAGCCCTGCACTGGATTATCCTCTGGTGCAGCAAGCCTTACAACCGTTGGCTGATCCACAGGCAATTTAATGACCGCCCCCAAGCGTCATCAGGAATTATTTTACGTCGCAGCAGGACGACGATCACAGCCAATGATTTCCCCTTCTAGTGTTTATTTAAAGACGCCCGGTCTCGTCTCCCATTTAGGGCTGGCCTGCCCTTCAGTACCCATCTAACAGCGCAACAAGCCCAACAAAGGACAAGCAGCAAAGCATGCGTGCTCTACTCCCGGTGGGTTGGCATGGTGACCGTGACCCAGTGCTTCGTTCAGGGCCCTTCAGAAAGCTCCGCCCATCTTCTCCCAGATGCTCCACGTGGACATTGCCGACTCTCAAGGTTGAGCGCACTCGACACCTCACAATGAGAGGACTCTCAAGAAGGAACAAACAACCTCACGGTAAGAAGTGTCGAAGAGGGTAGATAAGGTTAAGAGCAACGTACCTCAAATGGCTTCCCCCAACCACAGAGATAATCTCACCAGATGACCTGATGCCAATTGTGATGACCACTCGTTGCTTCGGCACAACCAGCATTGTACGCCGTTCCACCTCAGCACCAATCGCACATCAGATAGTTCTCATCACACTGTCCAGACCCACATTACACCACGTAGCCTTCCTGGCGATCCCCTCACCTCCTGGGTCGCCACTCACTCGTCTCCGCCCTCCTCACTACACACCACTTACGGCCCAACTCACCAAGCAAACCGCATGTATGTACCGCATTAGGCAGAAGACAAGCGCCAGATGAGCGCAATCGTACCACAGCTCCGATACCAAATTATAAGGAAGATGAGCAATAGCGAACTTCAGCAATCAAACAGCATCATATACACAAGACCAGATAGTCGTGACCTCGAACCAACAGCAGAATTGCATCACGAGTTTCACCAAATAAGAACACACCAAGAGCTCATAATTGACAATGCTGGTAAAGTCTCATCATCATCATCAATGAAGAACCAATGTTGATATCCTATATGGCGCTCGGCGCCCAGACTATAGATGGCAGATCCTATCTAGCCTAGACTAACTACAATGCCGAAGATGACGTCAACAGCTTTCCCGAAGTACGAGCATACAACGACCAATGTCGCACGCTTCCAGCACCAGGTATGTCTCTCGCCTCACTCACAACCTCGTTCATCAACACACAGATGCCACTTGCACCCAAGGACCACCCTGCGCCACACCCAGCTTACAGCAGCGCAGCTCGGCTATGGCTGCGGAGGTAGGCCCTTTG